CTGTCTACAAACTCACTTCAAATATAATGATATAAGAAGGTTGAAAGAAAAATGATGACAAAAAGATATATCATGCAAATAATAAAAAGAAAGCAAGAGTGTCTACATAATGTCAGATAAGGTAGACTTCAGAAATTGGTGTTGCCACTGGAAGTCCAACTTTGGGTTCAGCTGCAAGAAACTGCAATAGTACTTCCATTGTACACAGTAGGAATAGGGGAAAATTCCATTCATTCAAATATTTTTTGAGTACCTACTATGTGTCAGGCATTGTTCTAGCCACTGCAGACATAGTCCAGAATAAGATAGACTGGGCTTAGAAGAATTCCTCCCCACCACCCCCCATATTATACATATAGGAAGATTGAGTCCTAAGCAATTTTTCAGCACCATAAGGCTCATTTTCTTAGAAACTGACCTAGAACCCAGATGTCCCAGAACCTTCTTGCCCTTAGGATATTTGTCACTATGTCCTCTCCAAAGTGGATAAAGTAGAAACTTCTCCTGACTCAGAGTTAGGAGACTTGGGTCCTCATCCCAGTCCTGCTGATAACTTGCTGTGTATGTGACTGTGACTGAAATAGTCATTTCAGTTCTCTTGGTCTCAGAGACCTCATCTGTGAAAAAAGAAGACTTAGCTAAATATCAGTGGTTTTCAAATTTATTTTAGCTGTGGATCCTTTCTTGAAGTAAAATCTCACACAGAACCCCACATATGAAACAGAGAGAAGTGGAGTTTCTCTAGCTGAAATGGGAGTGGAGGGCTCACAGTCTCACTCATCAGTCTTTCCTCATCTTGCAAGGTGATTTCTTACAAGATAATTTGTGAGGCTCCCCTGCCAAACTCCTAAGGTTTCGGAAAGTAGAAGTTTGAAAACTACCAAGTTAGAAGATTTCCTGCAGGTTCCTTCTGTTCTAAGATTCCATTATACTTTCAACAAAAGCACTATAAACAACAGAATAAAGCAAGACACAGCCCATTACATTAAAGGAGCTTAAAATCTAGTAGAAGAGATGTACTACAAAAATCAATCAATTTGGCTTACTGAGTAGCTTCTATGTGCATGAGACCATACTAGGCGTACTGTACCACCTTCTACTTTGCTTTAATTGAAGACCTGGGCTCATGGCTTTTTGTCATCTTCTTCACCCCCAGTCCTGCCATCATCCTGGAAGATTGCAAGGTCCGTACAGATCACCTATCAATGCCTTGGCATCACTTCCTTAGTCTCCTTATCTCCAACTACCTTCTCATTTCTTCCACTTTGCCAACTACTTGCATGACCACATCACAGGTTATATCATAATCAGCAACTGCTTAACTTCTGAAATACTATAATTAGATATCTGGATTCCAGCCTTTTCTTTTTACATAATTTTCTTCCAGTACGTAAGTATCTTTAATTCTTTGTCTCCTTTTCTATCAGTTCCCTTTACTTGTTTCCTCATCCAATATAGAGTCTAGAGTTCGTTATTTCAATCATTATCTAAATAAAATGGTTAGCTCTCTTACCTCATTGTCCTTCCACTACACTTATATGGCAAAACCTCAACTCTGGACAAATCCAACTGTCTTTTCTTGCCTATACTAAACTACTTGAGTGTTGCTTAAAACAAAAACAACAACAAACACCTATTTTCAAAGATAGATGCCATATAAATTTAAGTTCTCTAACCATATCTCGACCCTCAACACCACCTACCCTCCCCAGTTAGCTTTCTCTTCCATTCTCCACATTGATTTTTTCAAACATTTTTCACTCTTATAAACCCTGATATTTCGATTCCTCTCTCATCTTCAGCAGATGTCTTTGATTACCACTACACAGAGGATGCAGAACCCACTGAACAAATCTTTCAATTTCCTCTCAAGTTAAAACTCACCTGCATCTCTGTCCGTTATCTCTTTCTCCTCTTGTCACAACAGACAAAGTGGCCCAGCTCCTGGTTAAGGTTAGTCCCTCTGCTGATATTCTGAATCCTTAGCCTATCAATTTTGGGACTCTTTCCTATCAGCATGTAAACATACACACATTTCCTCTTAGCTCAGCTCCAGATTCTCTTGTCCCCTTCACAAGCAAACATTTTGGGAAGCATTATCTACACTCATCATTTTCACTTTCTCATCTCCTACTCGCTCCTCAGTTCACGTCCGTTTACTACTCCATGGGAAGGGATCTAGAAAGCAATCTGATTTCTGCTGTCATTGGAACTCCTCATTAATGTATTCAACCACTTCTTTATGGCTAAATTCAGTAATCACTTCTTAATCTTTATTTTACTTGACTTCTTGAAGTCAGTAGTGTCAGAAAGTATTTGACACTACCGACTTTTCTGAAACACTTTTTAATCTGGATTCTGTAATACGCACTCTGCTGATTTTTCTTCTACTTCTCGGCTGCTTCCTTTTAGTTACATTTGGGGGTACACTCTGTCTCCTGTAAAGAAGTTTTCCTTAGGTCTCTGCCTTCAGGTGCTTTTATCAAGCAACACAGAGGGCCATCTCATCCATTCACATGACTTTTGCTATCATCACCTTCTTGATGATTTCCAATCTCATCTCTAGCCCAGGCCTCTCTCCTGAGCTCCAAATCCATAAATCCAACTGTTTGTTGACCATTTCTACTTGGCTTTTCTAAAGACACTTCACAGTCAATGTATCACAACTGAATTCCTTTTCCTCCTCCCTCAAAGATGTTCTCTAATTCAGCAAATGACACCATCAAACCAGAAACTTAAGTCATCCTTAACCTTTTCCCATATCCAAATCACTGACCAATATACTTTCTTCCTCACTCCTTATATTCATTAATCCCTAAGTCAGGTTGATTCTGCTGCCTTTCAATTCCATCTGTTTCTCTCCATCCCCACAAACACCATCGTCTCTCACTTTGGTTACAATAACAGCCTCCTGACTGGTCTCGCTACCTTCATTCTTGTACCAACAATCTACTTTACACACAGCAGGCAGAGTGATTCTTCGAAAGCACAAATCTGTTTTTATCTCTCCCATGCTACTAAATCCTGCAGTAGTTTCCTATTGTCCAAACTCCCTGACACAGGCATTTGTGTCCCTTCATGATCAGGCCTCTGCCTACCTCTTTGTTCTCACCACCCCCTTGTCCATTTCTTTTCTTCACACTCTATGCTATAGTAGCACTGAGATCACTTTTAGGATCTCTAGCAAATGACGCTTTACCTTGTGCATGTCCTATTCACCTCCACTGAAAAGTATTCTCCCATTTTTGCTTGGTCCTTGACTACTCATACGTCAGGAGTCGATTTAAGTTGTCGCTTCATTTAAGAATATTTTCTGATTCATTAGCCTGGGCCAGACCCCCTGCTTTGTGCTTTGTGTTTCCATGGTATCCGCTACTGCCTTGTTTAACTATCTTCCCCTATCAGACTATGTGGACCATAAGGACAGGAACTGTCTTATTCTGTATCCTCGGTATCTACTTACAGAACCTGGCATATGGTAGATACCCAATTTATTGTGGAATGTGATTGTGTTATGGACCTGAGATAAGTGGAGGCTGTGAAGGGGGGCGCAGGAGCCAAACAAGCAGAAAAACACTATGAGAAAAGGAGAGAAGGAAGAATATGGCAAACACTTCTTATAGACTTCTTATAGTCCTAGCTGTGAGAAGCAGTTTGGACCAAGTCAAGGAAACAAGTGGCAGTAAAGAGCTCTTTAGAGGGAAGCCCGGTATCTTTCTCATGGCAAAGTTCCACACCTGCAGATGAATTAAGGCCACAGCCTTGCTCCCTGTGGCAAGTATCCCTGCCAATTACCCCCAAATCAGCTGGGTGGATTTCTGTCAGCTTTGATCATTAATGTCAATTCCTTCTCTGAAGAGCTTTCAGATTGACCATTTTATCTTCATTGCCACTTACTCAATCTAGGACACTATCTCTTCATCTGTGGTTCATATATGGATTAACTGATCTGTCTTCCATCTCCACTTCATTAAATATAGAGATACTAGAACAATCTCCCTCAAAAACCCTGTTATACACAGCTCCAGTGCTCAAGAACCAAACTTTCTTTTTCCTTACAGCAAACCTAAAAGCTGTGACCTAGCTTCTTGGCTCTTTGCTGTTGTGACCACTATCATACCTCTTCCCCACCACCTCCCTGATATGCTCTCTCCACTTCTGCACAACTAGGTTTTATGATTGTGAATCTTGGACTCAGAAGTTACTTTAAAGTTAAAAGCAATTTTTAAGAGGGCATAAAATTCAGCAGCCCAAAACTGGCAAAACAATCTCCTTCTATTGTAGAACATTCACAAAGATATAAATTTGGCTACACCTAGACTATATTTCCAACTCATTGATGAGCAATTCATTGATAAGCATATCCTTTAATGTGATATGTAAGTCAAAATTAACATTCATTGTTTCTTTTTGATTATTGAGTTCTAAGCCTTTGCTCAGACAAAATTTGATTGCATCGATTTGTTTTTGTGCCAAAGCAGAGTAGTGCATTTGCCCAAAGCCTTAAAAGTTTCTGTGAAAGATACTTTTGGTGAAAGGGTAGAAATACAAGAGTTAGAGGGCAAGATTAACAAAAAATAAATAAAATTGAATGGTTTTTAAAACTTAATTATCAGATACAATGTTAAATAAAAACAGCAAAAAAACAACCCCCTCTGCAGAGTATAGTTTTAATTATGTAGATAAATATATATGTACATATACAGAAAAAAGAAAGAAAGTAAACTTAGGATGTTAACATCTCTCCCTGGTGGGAATTAAGGGTTATTACAATCTTCTTATACTTTTCCATGCTTTCCAAATTTTTTTATAAAAAGCATACGTTTATTTTAAAAAGCAGAGAAAAAATTTAAAAATGTAATAATATATCGACAGTGCTTATAACAAATTTTTCCACTCACATCATATGGTGGAAATGACTGCCAAATTCTTATAACGATCAAGTCAAATAAAATGTACCTCCCAAATAATTCATGCGATATTGGATTTTCTCAATTTACCAGAGTTCCTCTCTCTTTTCCTTTGGACTTTGAACCTCTACTTCCAAAACTGGTACTTTAGACACAAGATCTTTACAGATATTTTCACTTGTAATTAAATTAGCAGTTGCAGTTTTTTCCCCTACAGTAAAATGGTTTAATTTTTCAAATTCTTGTGAAAGCTCCAAGACCTGTAAAGTTAAATGAAAAGACAAACATTCTATTTTGCATAGTCTTATGTATAGCTGTGAAAAAGTATATTGATTCCATTAAATGCTTAATTATTGACAAATAATATAAATTGACAGCCTAATTGAAGTCTTATTCCAATTTAACTTAATATTTTGCAGTTGTTATATAACTTAATCTATTTATACCATAGGCATAAGGGTGTGTAAGTCCATGATTTTTTTTTTAATAGGTATTTTTGGTCTCTGGAGTTAGCTTCTCAGAGTGCTACTTAGAGTTCTGTTCTACCTTTTAACAAGAAAAACATGTGATCTATAAGTTTTACACTATTACCACACATTTTTGTTCTCAAGTTTTGAATGTACTTCATTGATTCATAAAAGCACTAATATATTGCTGCAAGAAAACATTAGAAAGAATAATGTCTTACTTCCAGTCTGACCCTATTTGTTTTAACTGAAATATCGCTGATTGTACATATCTGTGGGGTACAGAGCAATATGTGATGCTCAAATCAGGATAATTAGTATATTCAACATTATATAATGTAATTGTTTTTCGTGGCCCTTTACCAGTTCCCTCACCCCCCTCTCACTCCCCCTTCCTCACCTCTGGTAACCTCAGTTTTGTTCTCTCCTTTTGAAAGTTCAATATATTATTGTGATTGTTGTATCTTTCTTTCTTACTTATTTATCTTTAGCTCCCACTTATGAGTGAGGACATGCAGTATTTCTCTTTCTGTACCGGGCTCATTTCACTTAACATAATTTTCTCTAAGCTCACCCATGTTGCTGCAAATGCCAGAATTTCATTCTTTTTTTTTTTTTATGGCAGAGTAGTATTCCATTGTGTAAATATACCACATTTTCCTTATCCAGTCTTCCAACAATGGGCATTCATGTTGGTTCCTACTCTTGGCTACTGTAACTAGAGCTGTGATAAACATGGAGTGCAGGTATCCCTTTGACATGATGATTTCCATTTGACCCTATTTATTTGAAAACACTTGAATTTGTAACCTTTACCATATGTAACTACCATAGTGGTTCTCAAAGTCTAGCAGCCTCAACCCTTACATTCAGAATTAGTAGTCTGGGGTGAGAAATGGGAATGTGCACTTTAAATAAGCCTCCCAGGTAATTCTGATGCATGTAGATGCTTTCAGAGTCACTGATTGTTGTGTGCTTTGGCAAAACATTTGTTCAGGTCTTTTGTTTTTGTTTTTGTTTCGATAAACATATCCTGAAGATTGCCTTTCCTCTAAAGCTATTCTTTATATCTTCATATGAAATGAAAGAACATCTCTTTTAAGGAGCAGAAGGGTGGATGGGGAATGGTTCTCTTGATTATTGATTATTATCTCTTTATAATCAAGAATGGAAGATTGATCCCCATCAAAGTGTTGTGTTAAAATAGATGGTACCCTGCCTGACTGATATCCTGAGCCTCTCCGAAAATGCAGTTTCTATAGTAACTACATTTGGTTCAAAGAACACAATGGATCTAATTTTAAAGATCAATTTGTCTACTTTAAGAGATCTTTTTGTTTGGTTTTCTACCCCTTTTCAATTCTTTGAAGAGAAACTACAGTGTATGATATGGAATATAATCTCATATGGGCTATCACCTTTCCAGGGGAGATCCTGAACTGGGTCTTGGGGAATAGGAAGATCTTGAACTGAGTCTTGCGGAATGGAAAGATGTAGATAGGTGAAGAGACTATAGTACATTAAAACATAGGGAGCAATATGGTCAAAGGTACTAACATAGAAATGAGTATAGAGTACAGGCATATCTCGTTCTACTGGGCTTTGCTTTTTGCGCTTCGCTGATACTGTATTTTTTACAAATTGAAAGTTTCTGGCAACACTGCATTAAGCAAATCTTTTAGCACTATTTTTCTAAAGCATGTGCTCACTTGGTGTCCCTGAGTCACACTTTGGTAATTATCACAATATTTCAAATTTTTTCATTATTATTAAATCTGTTATGGTGATCTGTGATCAGTGATCAGTAATCTTTGATATTACTATTGTAATTGCTTTTGGGTGCCACAAACCATGACCATATAAGACAGTAAACTTAACTGATAAATTTCGTGTGTATTCTGACTTCTCCACTGACTGGCCATTCCTTCATTTTTCTCTCTTCTCGGGCCTTCCTATTCCAAGACACAACAATATTGAAATTATGGTAATTAATAACCCTACAATGGCCTCTAAGTTTTCACATGAAAGGAAGAGTTGCATGTCTTTCATTTTAAGTCAAAAGCTAGAAATGATTAAGCTTCATGAGGAAGGCATGTTGAAATCCAAGAGGGTGAAAGCTAGGCCTCTTGCACCAGTTAGCCAAGCTGTGAATGCAAAGGAAAAGTTTTTGAGGGAAATTAAAAGTGCCACTCCAGTGAACACTTAAATGTTAAGAAAGCAAATAGCTTTATTGCCTATATGAAGAAAGTTTTAGTGGTCTGGAGAGAAGTCCAAACCATTCCCTTAAGCCAAAGCCTAATCTAGAGCAAGCCCCTAACTCTTTTCATTTCTAGGAAGCTGAGGGAGGTGAGGAAGCTGCAAATGAAAAGTCTGGAGCTAGCAGAGGTTGGTTCATGAGGTTTAAGGAAAAAAGCCATCTCCATAACATAAAAGTGCAAGGTGAAGCAGCAAATGCTGATGGAGGAGCTGCAGCAAGTGATCCAGAAGATCTAGCAAAGATAATAATTGATGAAGGTGGCCACACTAAACAACAGATTTTCAATGCAGATGAAATGGTCTTATATTGGGAAGATGATGCTATCTAGGACTTTCATAGCCAGAGAGAAGTCAATGCCTGGCTTCGAAACTTCAAAGGACAGGCTGATTCTCTTGTTAGAGGCTAATGTAGCTCATGGCTTTAAGTTGAAGCCAATGCCTATTTACCATTTTGAAAATCCTAGCAACCTTAAGAGTTAGGCTAAATCTATTCTGCCTGTACTCTATAAATGGAACAACAAAGTCTGGATGACAACACGTCTGCTTACAGAATGGTTTACTGAATATTTCAAGCCCACTCTTAAGACCTGCTCAGATAAAAAGACTCCTTTCAAAATATTACTGCTCATTGACAATACTGTAGTCACCCAAGAGCTCTGATGGAGATGTGTAAGGAGATTAATGTTGTTTTCGTGACTGCTGAAACAATGTCCATTCTGCAGCCCATGGATCAAGAAATAATTCTGACTTTCGAATCTTATTATTTAAGAAATGCACTCCGTATATGGCACCTATATGTCATGGAGCTGGGAAAAGTAAACTGAAAACCTCTAGAAAGAATTCACCACTCTAGATGCCATTAAGAACATCTGTGTTCACAAGATGAGGTCAAAATATTAACATTAACAGGAATTTGAAAGAAGTTGATTCCAACCCTCACGGATGACATTGAGGGGTTCAAGACTTCAGTGGAGGAAGTAACTGCAGATGTGGCAGAAACAGCAACAGAACTGGAATTAGAAGTGGATCCAGAAGATGTGACTGAATTGCTGCAAACTCATGACAAAATTTTAACAAACGAGGAGTTGCTTCTTATGGATAAGCAAAGAAAGGAGTTTCTTGAGATGAAGTCTACTTCTGGTGAAGATGCTGTGAACATTGTTGAAATGACAACAAAGGATTTAGAATATTACGTACGCTTAGTTGATAAAGCAGAGGAAGGGTTTGAAAGGATTGGCTTCAATTCTGAAAGAAGTTCTACCGTGGCTAAAATGCTATCAAACAGCATTGCATGCTACAGAAAAATCTTTCGTGAAATGAAGAGTCAATCGAAGTGGCAAACTGCATTGCTGTCTTATTTTAAGAAATTGTCATAGCCAATCCCACCTTCAGCAACCATCACCCTGATCCGTTAGCAGCCATGAACACTGAGGTAAGACCCTCCACCAGCAAAAAGATTATAACTCACTAAAGGCTAAGATGATTGTAAGCATTTTTTAGCAGTAAAGTATTTTTTTAAATTAATGTATGTACATTACTTTTTTTAGACATGTTATTGCACACTTAGTGTACAGTAACACACTACACTATAGTATAAACATAACTTTTATATGTATCAGGAAACCAAATAATTCATGTGACTCGCTTTATTGTGGTGGTCTGGAACCGAACCCACAATATCTCTGAGGCATGCCTATAATTTGTGGAGAAGTGAGGAGGATGGTATTACTACAGTAGAGGCTACAAAATGAGGAGATGGGGAAATAAACAAGATTGAGGGAGGAGTCAGATTATGAAGAAACTTGAAAGACAATTTTCTTAATAAGCTTGTGTTATTTTTGGAGGCAGAAAGATTACAAAATGCTACTTAATCACTGATTTTTATGGTTACTGTAAAAATGTAAATATTACGGACAATAGTTTCTTAAGAAGTAAATAAAGGTAAACAGTGCTGTTTAGATTTGATATTACAACACATTGAGAACTGCTAGAGGTTTCTGAAGAAGATAGTGCCTTTAACATTGAGCATTTTCTAGGTATTCTGTATTCTCACATGACAAAATTGGTGTACATCTTAAGTGGGTCGAAGCTTTGCTCTTTATTATAAAGAAAGTTAAATCCACAGGACCTTTCATGACATTGATGTTGTGGAACAGGACCAACTCTCTTCCACAGGCTTTTCCCTATCAAAATTTTATCTCAGTGATTTGGCTCAGTCTAATAATCAACCATGTCTAAAGACTGTAAGAATTAAGCTGGTAGCTCCACTTCCTGATTGAGGCTTTAGGGTGGGTTAGAAAGAGTATAAGCTGAGAATCACCATGTCACTTAGAAGTAGCTTAACATCTCTAGGCCTCAGTGTTCTTATGTGTAAATTGAGGGAGTTGGCCTATATGATCATACTCCTTTCAGCACTCAAATTTTGTGACTATGAGTATAGATGCTGTGACCAAAACAAAGAAACAGCCTGTGAAATGGGGGCTTCAGCAAATACATAAGATACAACTTCTTAAGCCACTCTTAGCAAAACTACCTTTAAGTCTCCTAAAACACTCTGTGTTCTGAAAAAAAAAAAAAAGGAATATAATTAAAGAATCAGAAATTAAAAACAGAAACTTTTAATGAGTAAAAGTTTTAAAGGAAGCAGAATACATATAGTCTCAAAGAATCTCCCCACAAGATGTTTATTAATTGCCAAGGGAAAAGTAATAACTTCACAGTGGAGAAATCTAGCAGATAATACCTTAATCAAATGATCAAAGTTAACATTATGAGTAATGGAACGAAAAATATCATGTGTATCCTGATAAAATACACTGAGAAGGATACAACATTTCTGTAGCATTTCTGCCAAAAATAGGTAACCTGAATTATATTGTGAGGAAACACTGGACAAATCCAAATTGAGGAACATTGTTCAAAATAAATGGTCTGTACTTGTTATGGACTGCATGTTTGTGTTCCCTCAAAATTCATATGTTGAAATCCTAACCCTCAATGGGATGGTATGAAGAGGGGCCTTTGGGAAGTAATTAAATTATAAGGGTGGAGCCCTCATGATGGGATTAGTGCCCTTCTAAGAAGAGACAGTAGAGATCTTGATTCCTCTCTTTCTGCTCTTATCCATGTAAGGATATAATGAAAAGACTCCCATCTGCAAACCAGGAAGTAGGCCCTCACCAGTCACCAGATCTGCCAGCACCTTGATCTTGGATTTCTCAGACTCCAGAACCGAGAGAAATACATGTCTGTTGTTTAAGCCACCCAGTCTATGGAAATTTGTTATAGCAGCCTGAACAAGACATTGCTCTTCAGTCAAGATCATGAAAGACAAAGACAGACTGAGAAACTGTTGCAGATTAAAGGAACTATAGAGACATGACAATTAAAAGCAATGTATGATCCTGGATTGGATCTCAGACTAGGAAAAAAAAAATGTTCTTCTTGTGCTATTGAGTGGGATAATTGCTAAAATCTCTACAGCTCATATTAGATAATAATATTGTGTAAATGTTAATTTCCTGACTTTAATACTTGTACCATGGTAATATAAGAAATGTTATTGTTTTTAGCAAACACACATGGAAATATTTAGGGGAAAAGAAACTGAATGCCTCCAACTTACTCTCAAAGGGTTCACCAAAAAAAGTATGTATGTGTGTGTGTGTGTGTGTGTGTGTGTGTGTGTGTGTGTAGAGGGAAAGAGAGGCAAATGTGGTATCATGTTAACATTTGGAGGGGTAAAGGCATATGGGAATTCTTTGTACTATTTTCATACCTTTTCTGTAAGTCTGAAACTATTTCGACATAAAAATTTTAAAAATGAGAGAGAGAGCGCACCAGATTACCAGGATAGTGATCTGGATCTCTCCATTTTATATTGTATTCATCTTACCTCAGTTCATCTCTTGTGTTAACTTCTCTGATGACACTTTGAAAGACATGGTCCTTTAAATTGTACAGTGTGTTGAGAACTCACTTTGCTGACAAGGTCCCACAAACAAAGCTTAATTGTAGGCTGTGCCTTACGTATCCACCCTCCCAGGCAGCAAACTCTGTGTTCTGGACCCCTCCCTCCCTATGTCACATACTATCAGATCCATGTCCCAATCCCTCAGAAAACTGCTCCCTGCTTTCCAGGGTAACAACTACACATAGCATAAATTAGGCCTTGATTTAGTTCTTCACCTCACACACGGTGTTAAAATATAACTCTATACATTTTTACTGCTGTCTTCAAGCCTTCTCTCTTTACTATCACTTTATATATTAATTAATTAATTAATTAATTTATTTATTTATTTATTTCTTCATTTGGTGGCTGGCCAGTACAGGGATTGGACCTTGGTGTTCTCAGCACCACACTCTAACCAGCTGAACTAACTGGCCAGCCCCTCCTTACTATCATTTTAATCTAGATCGAAAGAGTGATTGAAAATTTCCTATGAGGGGAATTTTCAGCCAAGAGAAGATGATAGGAACGTAATAGAAGGGACTCTAGAAATTATACACTGCAGGAAACATCTCCATATAGTGTTGGATCAACCCTGGTCCGGCAGCCATTTTTAAATTTGGGGGACAAACTGGGATCAGGACACTTAAACATTTTCCTAATTCTAAGTATAAGCCCAATTTTCAATGTAACTGAGAAAGATACTTTGATCCTATGTTTTCAAGTTGAAGACATTTAAGTAAACCTTTTACATTATAATATGTGCTCCAAAAATTAAGTTGATTTAAAGTAAAAAATTTATAGATTAATCCTAAATGCCAAGTACTGGTCGAAGTCTGAATATTTATCCTGAAGTATGGCTTGATTTATAACCCACACTACATAGCAATTTATTTTAGAATAATAAAAGAAACTCCAATTTCCAAGTTATCCCTAAGTGAAAGTTAATTTCCTTTTATCCTGTCCTCATAAAAGATATGTTAAATATTGAACATATGGATACTTAGTAATTTAGTCTCACCTTTGTTTCTAATTCAGAATTCTCTCTTTGTAGCAGGTCATATACCATTAAAAACTGTTCTTTGCTTTCTGCTGCCTCTGGAAGACTTTGAACTTCATTATAAAGGCATACAAGTTCTGACCGTGATTTTTGCAATTCCTGATTAAGAAATGAAGATACAGAGTAGAATAAAATAAGACTATTTCCCTATAAAAGGTACAATATTTCTAAAAAGGAATCTTGAAATGGTCCTTACAAATTTTTTATTTTAAATATTCAACCTATCCTTCTGGCAGGTAGATTCCTTTCTTAGTTAAAACAAAGTTTACTTAGGTCAATTAATCAAACTGAGCATGTTTAGTTTCTATCATTCATAGGTTGAAAGATTGGATTTCTAGAGTCATTCCTACTTTAAGCAAGGCTTGTATAATAGTAAATTCTTCAGCAACTTCTCATTAGATAGTAATATTATCTGTTTTTAAAATACGTCCTTTTAAAAGTTACCTTTTATAGAACAATGTGCTATGTGGTTTACCTTTAATCTTCTGACAACACTATGAGAGGGTTGTTGAAACTGATGCTCAGAGAGCTTAAATGACCTGCTTAAATTCATAAAGCTAGGAAGCTGTAAAGCGGAGATTCCAAGCCCATGTCTGGCTGACTTCAAACTCTATGTTCTTAACTACAAATTATGCTGCACTTACTTAATAATGTATATTTAGTGACTTAATCAACTGCAGTTTTCTCTAATCCTCTGATTTTTTAATACCTATGAGAAATGTAGTTAATTGTAGAATTTTACCATATTTTGAATCAAATTTTTACATCGATGAAATGGAATATGCAGTGTTTTCACTGGCAGATGACTAGGGGCTGAGTGTCAGTCTGTGGTGCCCAGTGAAATCAGAGGGGGAGGAGAATGCTGATAAGAAAGGCATTGGGCAAAAAGGCAAGAAGGTAGAGAGTGGCCTCCCAAAACCACAGGAAGAAGACAAGTGATATTTATTTCCTAACTCACTCCACTGAAAATCCCTCTAGGTCATTAGGATGGGATTTGGGGCATTGCACTTGCTGTCACCCACCCTGCAAACTGATTGTCATAACCCTCTAAATTGGTGATCTAGACTTACATGAACTCACTTCCAGGTATCTCTTCAAAATGCAAGCTGACTATGTCTCCTGATAGTACTTTCCAAGATGGCAGGATAAGAGGTTAAAACAAGAGATGAGTCCATGACTCTATGAACACCATAACAATCAAACACGTGCTATTTAAAGGACTCTTTGGCTAATGTCGGAACTCAGCTTGGAGAAACATCAGAACTACCCCCATTATCATTTCTAGAAACACATATTCTATAGTACTATGGAATGAATTGTGTCTCCCTCCCCCAAATTCATATGTCGAAGACCTAATCCCCAGTATGACTGTATTTGGAGAAAGGGTCAATAAAGAGGTGATAAGATCAAATTAAGACATAGGGTGTGGTGCTAATCTGATAGAAGGAGAGACACCAGAGCTCTTTCTCTCTGTCACATGAAAACACAGTAAGAAGATAGTCATCTGCAAGCCAGCAAGAGAGCCCTCACCAGGAACTGAATTGGCTATTACCTTGATCTTGGACTTCTCAGCCTCCAGAAATGTAAGAAAATAACTTTCTGTTGCTAAACCCACTCAGTCTGTGCTACCTGGTTAGGGCAGCCCAAGCTAAAACATATAGTTATAATTTATTTTAAAATCAAAATAACACAATAACATGAAATCCTTAAATTAGGACTACAATAAGAAGAAAACAACATGTTGAATGGCAATACCTCACTTTCAACTTCCATGACTTTCTGACCTTCTGACAGTTGCTTTCTCCTCTCTCTCTCTTCTGACAAATCACTTTCAAATATTTCAATTTTTTTCTTGGCTCATTTTCAGTATCTGTTAAAGGCATTTTACATAACTAACTTTATATATAATAGCAGTGTTTCCTGTAAATTCTGGTAATGATAATTTTCTGCCTACCTCAATTATATAGTCTTCTAGGGGATATATGAACCCAGGAAAACCAGTTCATGTACCATAGCTCATAAGTTTTTCTCTCCAAGCCTGTTTACACAACTGTAAAATGTAGTAATATTTTGTCCTACCTACATTATAGCCATCATAGTAGGAATAAAATGTAATTTTGAAAGTATTTTATAAATTCTAAGCACCTACCAAGTATAAGGTATTGCTGAAATCTTTTCAAATTAATTGATAATAATAATAGTTGGAGTAATAATAACAGCAGCTACTATTTATTGAGAGCTTACGGTATGTCAGACACTAAGGTAAGTACTTTACATGCATTATGGTATTTTGTTTTCCCAGAACCTCTATGATATTGGAACTATTACTACACTTTTTATAGAGGAGAGAAGTGAGGCTTCAATAGGTTAAGTAATTTGCCAAAGGCTACACAGTCAGCACTGGGATTCAAACACAAGTCTAACTTAAAAGCTCTTACTTTTAATATCTACTCTATTCAGCCTTGCTAATGTGCATTTTCTCTTGTGTATAAAAACCTATCAGGAAGTTAAATTGAGATCAAAATGCAGCTTAGTGAACACAGATGGAGAATCGAGCCAATTCCTTTGATCATGCTACTGTCAAGCTGCGAATCCCTCTCCACTGTAAGAGCACACCTGTCAAGTGAACTACATGTTTGGTTTGGCCGGTCAGGAAGCAGCATGAAATTGACACATACATATTCTGTAACTTGGAAAATGCCGACTAGCGTGTTGGAAAATAGCCCTACCAGTCCTGTTCTACTATGGACCAACAGTGGGAACCTGGGCCAGTGACCTCACTTTTCTTAACTTCAGTTTCCTCATTTGAAAAATAGGGATAATGATGCCTGGACATCCATGGGCACCTTGCTCACAGAAAATGCTTTGTAAATGGTAGTTGATATTATTATCGGATTGTTCTGAATTTTCACATTTATTTTTTAGTGAGGTAATACCTCTAAATATGCCTATGATTTCAACATAATAGTTCATCCTAAATATAATTTTAATGGGCCCCTTTCTGACTAAAAGCCTTCCTGAGAAGGCTTTCTGTAACCACTGATCACAATCACAGGATGTAGATTTACCATTTCTGGAAGTGTGCTTTTTCATTTTGCCTATTTTCAATAATTGTTGAGCATCTTTAAGTAGCCCGCCTCACTTGTGCTAGAAAATATAACTGAAAATTATCTTTTTGTTTCTTACCTCTTTCAAATCCTGTTCTTTAATTGTCTCTTGACCTTTCATATTGGTTTGTCTTCTGTCTTCCTAAATTATTGATAACTTAGGCTCTAAGGTGGAAATCTTAATCCAAATAAATCACCAGTTATAATACATATATGTTATTTTTTTAAATACTGAAAAAATAAGTTACATTTCTTAAGCATCTTTCCCCGAGGCTGTACCCCTGAAATCTCTTCCTACTGTGAGTTTTACCTGCTATCTGACCTTGGATCCTTTGGAGAATTGCTTTATTATGGATTTGAGCCTTTGCTGTTGTTTAGCAGCTGAGTCAAAGGGAACAAGAACTAGAAAAACACACTACAGAATCCTGATTGTTCTGAATTAATCAAACTGCTAATTTACCTTTCTCATGTTTAATGTCAAAACAACAGGAATACCAATCCTAAACTGATGAGTTAGAAAGAATGGGGAATGCTCCTAGAAGAATGGATGCTAAAACCCAAGTATAATTTTTATAGTTCCTCTGGTACAGCGATATGGACAAAAGGCCTAGCCAAGAATCATGTCAACCTAGTAGCATTGCATAAGAATACGGGGAGTAATATATTTTTTCCCAGAGCAGCTTCTCCCTCTTCACCAGCCAGCATCCGCACTTGTTTTTACAAATCTGAACATTTCTGCAAATCCACATGTGACATGCTGATGCATTAAATACTCAAGGCAGGAGTTCCCTTACCCCCACCTTTACACCACCTGAGATGCAGCAGTACAGAGTAGGGGAAACACCTCAACTCTTAAAAATGAAAACTCCCCTGATTTTCTCTGTATTATCTTAATATAAGAATGTCATGTATCTTAATGCTATAATTTTTAAAAGACAGCCTTTCCAAATAATATATATTTGAAAGTTACCATAATTCGTGACATCTTGAATATATTTATGCGTTTAGGCAATTTATGTACTTCTTGAGACTGGTGGCAAAGTTTAAAGCAGAAAAACACAGGAAAGGGTCAGCAAATAATGTGAGAAATGAGCAATGGGATATTCAGATCTCTGGGTAACTGAAGGGAGCCTACCTCACCTTCAGCCAGCAGCAAAGAAGAGGACTAATGACTTGTTAGAGAATTGTTTCATTAGTGTGGGGCAGCCACCAACGACTCTGGAGAACGGTATAACAGCTCAGAATTTTCCACTTTCAATGTTCTATCATCTGAAAGGTGGGGATCAGCGAATGCTCTGAAATAAACTGTGCCTCCCAGGCATAATATAACAAGTGTTACTGTAGTCCCCCTATGTGCTTGCATTGTGCTGTGCCCTCTACAGGCAAGTCAAATGAGATGGCAAATACAGGCACTGTAGAGAATAAAACAGTGCCAGTCATCACCTCTAGGTGGAGGTGGTTGAGGTGTTCGGTGCTGGGCATGCTACAGGCCCCCTGTGTTATAATAAATCCCCTATACAAATCTCTACAGAGTTGGGTATCATGTAGAAAATGAACTCTAGGACCAGATAACACTAGATTATCTACTGACTCTGACCCTTAACTTTGGTCAAGCTCCCTTAAGTTCTCACAAATATGAAATCGGAATACTCCTATTTGCCTTGGAGTGAGGACTGTTATAGGGACTACATGAGATTATGTTTGTAAGACATCTAGAACAGATCATGGCACATGATAGATGCTCAATATATTATGACTATTCTTACTTAGCATTTCTTCTATTTAAAACACTTTCTCTGAGAATGTGTATGATGACAGCACTAAGATGGTCTATTTAGTGATAAATCTGTCTGCATATAGAAATGCATAAGGAACACAGCGATAGATACCCTGAGGAGTCTGCTTGATATAATGGATTAGTTTTCTAGATTACTTTTCCTTTTTAAGTCACAGGTTTCCCCCTAGCTTTTATTTTCGAAAAAATTCTTATTGGGAAACCCTCTACAGAGAGCCCAGAAGTGGAGGCTTCTCTGATGGATGTGGAGGTAGAAGATCTAAAGCATTGCAATTGTAGAACATCATGGATCCCTGGAACACAATTTGAAAACCAGAGTGGCAAAAACATGGTTTTTGTAGTCAGGCTGAGATTTTGAGATAAGAGGTGCTCAGTTTCTCTGGGCTCAGATTATAGGACACACCCCTGGGTTACAAGCCATTCCCCAAGGTTTCAGGCCCCTTCTCTAGGCCCTTGCCTAGAGGAAAGTTGCTGTTACTAGTTAGACCTATTTTCAGCATCAACACAGGGAAAATGAGACCACAAGGGGCTGGCTTATGCAAATCCAGTGGCTGGGCACGCACAGTAGAGAAGAGTTATATAACCCGGGTAGCTGAATGACATTTCCACTTGGGGTGCTAAAGAGCACAGAATGTTCTTGAATGTGTCTGGTAAATGTGATAGAATTTGACCAATAAATGTGCTCCAGAGCATGTGTAAGACTAAAGTTACATAACTGGGAACCACCCCCTTAATTGAATATTCATTAGATAGCAAAACCATAAAAGCCAAATCCCAGAAGGTGGGATTGTTGCTTACTCTCTTGAGCCAGCCTGAACTCTGTTCTGAACTTTAAGTATGTATTTCTTACTTTTGTATTAAACTTGTTGTGGGCTCTGCTCAGTGTCTGAAGCTAGGCCACACTCTGTCTGTGAAATCTATATCTCTTATTCATATATTAAACCTGTTCACATTTTCTACTGTGACTCCGCTCTTGAATTTTCTCCTGTGGCAGAGTCAAGAATCTGGTAAGAGGACAAGGTGGGTTGAAACCAACTACCAGACCCCCAAGACCCTTGCTCCAACATCAATTCGTAATCTTGACTTCCACATTTACAAATTTGTAATCTTGACTTCCACATTTACAAATTTGTGATCTTGACTTCCACATTTACAAATTTGTGATCTTGATTTCTTCATCTGTAAAGCAGGGTGAACAATAACTATCTCCCAGAATTTCTGTTATCATTAAACGAGTTATGTCAAACCCCCAGTAGACTCATTACAACACTGTAGACACTCAAATATTAGTTTCCATCTGCATTAGACAAGGCTCTCCAGAGAAACAGAACCAACAGGAGATTTATATATACATATATGTACACACACACACACACACACACACATAAAAGAGATATTTATATGAGAAATTGGTTCATGTAATTATGGAGGCTAAGCAGCGCATGATCTGCTGTCTGCAAGCTAGAGACCCAGGAAACCTGGTGGTGTCATTCCAGTGCAAGTCCAAAGGCCTGAGAACCAGAAGAACTGATGGTTTAAGTTCTAGCCCAAGTCCAAAAGCCTGAGAACTGGAGGGGCCAATGGTGTAAGTTCCAGTCTGAGTCTGCAGGCCTGAGATTAAGGAGTGTTGATGGTATAAGTCCCAGTCTGAGGGCAGGAAAAAACTGATGTCCCAGCTTGAGCAGTCAGGCAGAGAGAGTGAATTCGCCTTTCTGCCTTTTTGTTCTATTCAGGCCCTCCACCGATTAGATGATGCCCACACTCATAGGGCAAGGCAATCTGGTTTACTCAGTACACATATTCAAATGCTAATCTCTTGTGGAAACACCCTCACGGACACACCCAGAAATAATGTTTAATCAGATATCTGGACATACTGTGGCCTAGTCGAGTCGACATATAAAATTAACCATCATGCTATCATTTTACTTTCTTTTACAGGAAACAGAAAATAAAGTAGTCTGTGATCAGGAAGGAGTGACTGCAGGAGGCACCCAAGTGCTCATCTAAAAGCCAAAGACCCATGCCAGGGACAGCATGGTACTAAATCAAGATCTATAAACAAGTTCATGGGAAAAGGGCTGTTATTCTTTACCTGCGGAGTGCAGCACTCAGTTCACTTAACTCCTCTGCTTAGAATGATCCTTTAGTTAATAGTTACTTATGTCACCATCTCCTGGCTGCCAAGCACGACAAAGGAAGCTTGAGGATTTTCTTCATGACAGATCAAGAGAGAACTTTGAAGGCAAAAATCTCTTTAGTTACCTCTTCTTTCTTTAGGAAATGACTTTAAAAAATCATTTAACTCTAATTGTTTATTCACTGAGAACCTTTTCTAGTTTTAAAGATTTCTACTTGCTAACACCCTTTATAAAAAGAAACATTTATTTACAATGGTCTTCATTAGCCCACTTGAGCTGGCTCTATGTGGGATGAAGTGAGTGAAAGGATCATTACACTCAATATAAAGCTTTATTATTTCATAAATCCACACGTGTTTCAAGTCTTGATGACAAGGAAAAGAAAACTGGTTTATACCACAGCCTGGAGGATTCAGAATAGACTTAGAAAAATAAAATTTCCAATACTTAAACATTGGGGGAAACTGTGTGATCTACTTTTCTGAACATATTTTAAAATAAGGTAGATGCTCATTTATGCAGAATGTCACAGATAATATTTACCATAGAGCAAACTAGATTAATCAGATAGTCTCCAAAGAGCTTCTCCTTTCTCAAGAATTCTATGATATAGAAGGCCTAATAGAGGTATACCACTGATCTTTTGCTTCAAGAAAGCACTTGCCACAATCTTCCCAGGCAGCCTCCAGTGAATGACTGAGCATGGTAGGGATACAAAGGCCTGGCCATTTCCGCCCAATGTGGAATTCCTCTACAGATTATTACTGTGCCAAAACTCCCTGTTGGGCTGGCTGAGACTTTCTCAGAGCTACACCACAGTCTGAGGCTCTTTCTGTCCAATCTTTCTTCCTTCTCTCTCTTCTTTAAAAGCTGTCAGAACTGCATTGTGATTTGAAGGTTCTCCCTGCCCACGTCTGCTCCTTTCCTTTACTCTTCATAGGTACTGCCCTCAATAACTTTCTTGCAAAGCTAAGTGAAGCCTGCTTCCCAGATCGGCCTCCTTCATGTGGACATATGGATGACAGAATAGGAGTGGGCCACAATCATGGCCACAATCAAGGACAAAAGAAAATGACTATATAAAAAGTCAAAGAGTTTAGCCATTCTCACACAGGTGAAGTCTTTGGAAAAATACTTCTCTTGAGGCAGACAACTTGTCAGGGCGATCACACCTCTCCTATGCTCCGATCAGTTTGCTCTAGACTTCATTGTCACTCTAAAGGGCAGAGGAAATGAAGTGGAAAAATTAGATACCACAACTACCCTCCTTCCCAGACATCAGAAGAAAGAGCAATACTAGACATCATTATCCTTTTTTCCTAGGATATCAGAAGGAAGAATGGAAGAAGGCAGAGATTTGCATGGGAGATTCATTCTGCTTTTGTTTACATGTGGTATGAAAAATTTTACCTCTTAAAAACTGTTGTGTTTCATACATGCAATACATTCCTTCAACTATTTTTAACAAGATATTATCCTGTTAAGTGCTTAAAATCACCTTTCTTCCTATTGATTTGCTTGTATATTCACTCATTTATTCAGTCAACAATTATTGAGAGCAAAATATGCTTGCTACTTTTTGCATCCTGGGAACATAATAGTAAGTACTATTACTATTCCCATTTTACAGATAAGGAAATTAAGGAACAGAGAGTTAAGCAATGTGCGTAACTGATAAGAGCTAGTATATGAACTCAGGTAGCCTGGTTCCAACGTGTTTCTAACATCTACATTAAACTGCCTTGATCATACTTTTCTGTGTTACAAATATCCCTGTGGCCCTGTCCTAGTAGAGTGTTATAGTGAGACAGCACAGACATGCAGGCAGATAAATTACACTGTACAGTGATCGGCATTGTGGTAAAGGTGTACACCAAGCACTGAGGCAGTTAGAGGACATTCTTTATGTTATTATGCCAAATCCTTATATGCAAGAGATTTTGCTATAAATACATGTATTTATTTTCAGACAAAACTTCCTGGTGAGTTTTATACCCTTCAGAGCAGTTATTTTGAAAAATGATGCACGCAAAGGATGTTGGAAATCGATATTTAAAATTGCCTTCCACACAGAAAGAGAAATACTGCACGTTTTCACTCATAAGTGGGAACTGAAAAGTAAAGAAAGAAAGGAAAGAATAAGCAAGCAAGGAAGGAAGGAAGGAAAGAAAGAAAGAGAAGCAAACAAAAACAAACAACAATCACAACATTATGTTGAACTTTCAGAAGGAGAAAACAGAACTATTGTTATTACTAGAGGTGAGAAACAGGGAGGGGAAGGGCGATTAGGGAGAAATTGGTTAATGGACACAAAGAAAGATTACGTTTTACAATGAGGATTATGCTAATTATCCTGATTTGATCAAAACATATTGTACACAAATAGCAATCGTCAACTCTGTACCGTGTAATATGTATACTCAATTGTGCTTCAATAAAAATAAATAAAAATAAAATTTCTTTAAAAAAAACTGCCTTCTAAAATGGTGAATACACACACACAAAAGATGGTAGGTAATTATCTTTCTGAGTGAACTTGATTTTGGGGGAATAGATGTTAACTAACATCTATTAACTAACATCTATTCAGAGACAAAGTTGAAAATCAACTTATGTAACAGTTTGGAGCAAAATATGTTCCTTTTTTTTCCCCCAGATATGAAAGAGAGGTCACTACAACCACATTTTCAGAAATCAAAAGGGTTATAAGAGGATAGTATGAATAATTGTTGGCCAGCAAATTAGACCTAGATGAAATGAACAAGTTCCTAGAAACATGCCACCTTCCAAGACTGTGTTAGGAAAAAACAGAGAGTTTGAACAGGACTATAACTAGTAAGATGAATGATTATTGTTTTTTGGATTCCTGATGCAGGACTCCCTTGAGGATTTCTGGCAGAGCTGAATATGTAGTGATGAACTCTTGCAATTTTTGTCTGTCTGTAAAATACCTTATATCTCCCTCATTTCTGAAGGATAGCCTTGCTGGGTATAGTATTCTTGGCTGGAAGTTTTTTTCTGTTAGTATTTTAAATATATCATCCCCTTTTCTTCTGACCTGTAGAGTTTCTGTTGAGAAATCTGCTGTAAGTTTGATAGGGGTTCCCGTATAGGTGGCTTAACACTTTTCTCTTGCTTCTTTTAAGATTCTCTCTTTGTCTTTGAGCTTTGCCAGTTTGACTATAGTGTGTCTTGGAAAGGATCTTTTCTGGTTGAATCTCTTTGGGGATCTTTGAGCCTCCTAGATCTGAAGATCCGTGTCTTTCCCTATATCTGGGAAGTTTTCTGTTATTTTGTTGAGTAGGTTTTTCCAAGCCTTTTCTTTTCTCCTTCCCTTCTGGAACACCCATGATTTGAATGTTTGTGTCCTTAAGGTTGTCTGCTAGCTCACTTAGATTTTCTTCATTTTAAAGAATTATTTCTTTTTCTTTTCTTTCTCCCCCCCCCCTTTTTTTTTTTGGTCTGGGTTATTTTTAAAAGACTACCTTAAAAATCAGAAATTCTTTCTTCTGCTTCTTCTAGCATGCTGCTTAAGCTATCAGTTGTATTTTTTATTTCATTGAGTGAATCTTTCAGTTCCATGAGTTCTGCTACATTCTTTTTTAAGGTATTAATCTCCTTGTACATTTACTCCTTCATATCCTGGATGTTTTTCTTGTTTCATTACATTGTCTAACTGAATCTTCTCACATCAAAGGGAGTTTCCTTAAGATTGTTGCTCAGAATTCCTTTCAGTCATTTCAAGGGTTTCCAGCTCTATAGGGTCTGGTATTTGAGAATTACTGTATTTTTCTGGTGGTGTCATATTTACTTGGGTTTTCATATTTCTAGTATCTCTGCATTGATGTTTGGTCATCTGGTAGAGCAGTTGTTTCTTCTAGTACTCTAGAGTAGGCTTTGAGGAGAGAGACATCCTCTTCTTTTTAGAGTCTCCACTGATAATTCTCTTTGTGTCAATGCAGTCAAGAGTGTGGTGGGGCCACCTGCATGATGCCTGTGGCTACTGCTGTGGTGTTGAGGTATTTCTTGAGCAGCCATGGTTGTGGTGGTGGCTGTGGTGGGCTACCTGCATCGAAGTGGTGTTTTCAGCATGCTCCTTGCTTGCTTGTAGGTTGGGGACGCTGCCCTTGGCTCCTGCCTAGGACGCTGGGTGTGCTTTGCTTCTTGCCTGCCTCCAGGTGGATGGGGCTGCCCTTGGCTCCTGCCTCAAAAATGTTTCATTTTATAAGTCAAATTATTTGTCCTGTGTAACTAGGCACCATTTGTAAAGAGGAATTTAAAAATAGTTTTATTCAGTGCATATGGTAAGCATGATTAAAGGTAAACATGACTAGAATAGGCAAATTTTAGTGTATTTACTAAAAAAAAAAAAAAAAGGACTTCAAACACTCCATAAAATATGAGGCCTAAGGAATCATTCCCTCTGATACAAAGGAAAAAACCCTGGAGATCCAAATTTAATAGACTAATTTCTTTAGTAACCTGACAAAGAGATCCAAATGAGCATCTGACAAAGAGATCCAAATAAAAACAAGAAGAGCTAGAAAAACAATATCAATTATTCAGGTGGTCAAGCAGAGAGAGTTCTGGGATGCTATCATTCATATAATTTGACAGAATGAGCCAGAACTTAGAAATTTCTAAGGGAGAAGAAAAAGACCTCAAAACCCAACCTTCCAACAGAAAAATAGAACAATGCACATGAAAATGGGTCACAGAAAAAGAAATAAAGAGCCACAATGGAGGAATGGGGATGAGACTTTTCCTTACTGTTGCCAGTAGAAAATTGGAAAAAAAAAAACATATAAAACAACTGTTCTGGGGCCGGCCCGGTGGCGCACTGGATAGTGCGCCGCTTGGGAAGCGCGGTGGCGCTCCCATCTGAGGGTTCGGATCCCACATACAGACCGGCTCCCGCTCACTGGCTGAGCGAGGCACGGGAGCAACACCGAGGCTTGCGATCCCGTTGCCGGTCCCCGGTCCGGTACGGGGGCAACACTGAGGGTTGCGATCCGTTGCCGGACACAGAAAAAAGACAAAAAGACAAAAAAACAAACAAACAAACAAACAAAAAACAACTGTTCTCAGACATTTGACAAGAGACAGACTTTGATTGACTACAGATGGGGGGAAAATTAGGTGAGCACTACAATTGCCAGGGATTTCTACCTGGAAGCACTTTCCAGAGTGTGGTGATGTGAGGAAAATACTGTACAGAGTATGGCAGTCTTGCAGAATTGAGGAGACAGACAAAGGAGTTCAGAAAGACAGATGGCAGAATGTGGAGTAGAGTAGCAGAGAAATGGAAGCCACACAGAGAAAGAATTGCAGAAGTCTACACAGGGTTTTCTGAGTCTTTTCTGAATACTAAGCCACACGTGGGTAGGGAAAAACTCCACAAAGAGAGTCAAAGAATGAAAGAGTTGTAAGAAGAACAATCCTTAGAGTTCAACAGGGTTGGGAGATGTCTGAGTTCCTACCAGCCAGAATAGGGTCCTTGTTGAACACGCAGGGTTACACCTTAAGAGTAGGACTATTCTAGCCTCAGAGTAAAGGCCCCCTCTAAATCTGCCCTAAGAAATCTGAAAAATAATCCAGAAATAATCAAGCTATTCAGCAAGAAATTTAGCCAATTATGAAAGCAAAGTTTAATACCTTTAAGCAAGACAATAAAATCCAGCCCTCAAGAAAATAAAATTCATAATATCCAACATCCAGTAAAAAATTACTAGATCTGCAAAGAAGCAAGAAAGTATAGGGAAAAAAATAAGTCAATAGAAAGAGACCCAGAAATGATAGTGTATTTTTTAAGAGACATAATGAATAAAAAATGGAAGATATAAAAAAAGAAGTAATTGAATTTCTAGAAATGAAAAATGCAATCTCTGATATAGGTAATTCACTGAATGGGACTGAAAACATAATAGACACTACAAAAAAAGTGAACTTGGAGACATAACAATAGAAATGATCAAACTGAAATAAAGAGAAAAACTGGGAAAAAATGAGCAGAGCCTTTCAGACAATACCAAGGGATCTAATACACATGTAGTTGGAGTCACAGAAGTGGGGCAACACAAAAATTTTTAAAGAAACAGTGGCTAAAATTTTTTCATATTTGATAAAAACTCTAAACACAAAGAACCAAGAAGCTCGAAAACTCCCAAGCAAGATAAGTACTAAGGAAACAAAGGCAAATTATAATTAAACTGCAAA